GATCTGCTTTTCACTTAAAGAACTCACTCTCTGAAGATCTGTTCGTTCAGAGGGGACAAGATGTGAGGGCAGGGAGGGATGTTGGGGTGTTCGTAGGCCCTTCTTATGCCACACTTCTAGATTCAGACTCCGTGAATCTCCAGTGTAGGATAAAGAGTTGAGCTGAATGGACACTGGTTTATCGATATTTAGTTCGGTGAGCTGAAGTGATTTCACCATCCATCTGACTCAGATATCAGCTGAGACTTTGTTGAACTTTTGCTTTTCATTTGGATGGATATTTGCAAAAAAGAAAACTAAGGAGAGGAAACATAAAGGTATCAAATCTGTAGCTGTAATTGACATCTGAAGGCACGAGGCTCCAAGCTGGGACCATGTCCTGGAACATGGCATTGGGATCCACCACGTCCCATCACGACCAGTCAGGGCCATGGCTTGCCTGGAGTTCCATTTCTATTCCAGAAAGCAGCAGTATTTTAGGAACATGCGAATTTATATTGTAGGTCACAGAATTTAGGTATAAATTCAAATACCTGGGGGTTACTCTGGATATGTAAAATATTCCTCAAAACTGTGTAATATTAAAAGTGCATTTTCTTCTTCGAAAAAGAAGTCATATTTAAGATTTCCAAGGGTCCAAGCAGTTTCTGCGGCATAAATACAGGTTTCCATTCGTGGTTTAATGGTGCCTGGGTTGTAACAGAAAAGGTGTTTGGGCAAAAATAGTAAGGGAAAAATGATTCACATTTGGCTTCTGTCTACATTAGGCCTTTTCAGGGGGATGGAATTTAGAAATCACACAATAAATATGAGACCAAAATGCTTGATTGAGGACTTGCTTTCATTTCTTCACTATCCTGAGCACAGGGACATGTGTTTTAAAGCCTTTAAAGACATTTGTGAGAGGATATATATATATAGGCCATAAAAGGGATTACCTATCAAAAATAAGAATCAGTAAAGAATACAGCTGACTCGCAGGGGAAAAAAAAAAACCCTTGCCAGTTTTAAATTGATCTCGGTTCTCTTTATTATTTTTTAAAATTTATTTACTTTTTTTTCTTTTAATTGGAGTAAAATTGCTTTACAATGTTGTGTTAGTTTCTGCTGTACAGTGAAGTGAATCAGCTATATGGATACCTATATCCCCTCCCTCTTGGACCTCCCTCCCACTCCCACCAATCCCACCCATCTAGGTCGTCACAGAGCACCGAGCTGAGCTCCCTGCGCTATACAGCAGGTTCCCACCAGCTATATTTTACACATGGTAGTGTATTTATGCCAAACCTAATCTCCCAATTTGTGCTACCCTCCCCTTCTCCCACTGTGTGCACATGTCTGTTCTCTACGTCTACGTCTCTATTTCTGCCCTACAGATAGTTTCATCTGTACCATTTTTCTAGATTCCACATATATGTGTTAATATACAATATATTTCTTTTTCTCTTTTTGGCTTACTTCACTCTGTATGACAGACTCTAGGTCCATCCACATCTCTACAAATGACCCAATTTCATTCCTTTTAATGGCTGAGTAATTGATCTCGGTTCTCTTTATAAATGAACTTGGGGAGTTCCCTGGCGGTCCATCTCTTAAGCATCCAGTGGTTAGGACTTGCCGCTCTCACTGCCGTGGCCCTGGGCTCGGTCCGTGGTCAGGGAACTAAGATCCCGCAAGCCGCGCAGCACGGCCAAAAAAAAAAAGAACTTGGAAAAGATTTTTTTTTTTTTACAAAGTGTAATCGTGACCTTGCTTTGTTTCCATGTATTTAATTTTCCTGAAAAGGTATTTCAGAAGACAGCCTTTCTGGAAATGGTTTTTCCTGTATTACCCAGAATTGAACTGATGGCGCTTGCAGGAGTGGGGTTCCAACCTGTACTACACGTCAGCTGTTGGGCGTGGGTGTAGAAGGAAGGGACATCGTAACTGTACATCTGTATGTGGTCTGAGGCGGAAGGTCTGTTCCCTCCAGTAACCCTAACACACGAAGGGTCCGCCTTGCAGGTGGCTCGTTTCCCAGCCAGCAGCACGGTAGACAGGGCTTATTGTTTCAAAGGTAAAGCCATTCCATCTGTTCCTTGGCAACTGTACTAGGAACCGCTGAAGGAATCCTTTTAGAGCTTTTGGCTCCCAGTACAGACAGACAGACAGACAGACAGACATGTGCTTCTCTCAACCTGGCTGAGAGCATGACCCAAATGTCTGCCTCCAGAGTGTGGATCTAAAGAAACTGCACTTTCCAATATATGCCAGTATCCTTCTAGATTCTTAGGCACCTCTGAGATGAGTATGCAGTCATTCACGTTGTTGTAAAATTTAATTATTAAAAGAGCACTGTTCTTAAGCACAGTGTGCTTGCCTAGTATTCAGTACAGCCCAAACAACTTTTCCAGATGGGTTACATGAAGTCAGCTTCATCCAGGTTGTCTCTGCTATAGAAGTCATCCCTCACCATGTGTCCTTACATACTTTTCTTGTGAGCTCTGGAAAGTTACAGAACACTGTTTAATTCTGGCCACTGTACTATTTCTTTTATGCACACAGTGGGCAGACCTTTTAAAATTTGCCCTTTGCTTCTCCTCCCTCTCATAATTCAGTTTTTTCCTTATTCTTTTTTCTGATATTACTTGAGATTACTGGAAAGAATAGGATTATCTAGGACTGGATCTCCAGCCACCCTCAGCAACTTGAATCCCTGTGAAATGGCAGCTAACCTGGAGCTGGCCAACTCAAATGGAATCTTGATCTCCTTACATGTAAACTTCAGAAAACTCAAAAGGAGTGCTTTGAAAAATATGTCTGCCTGTAGTACGAGAATTATTAGAATATATTACCAGGTAATGCTGCTAACTTTACTTGTGCTCATATAGGCTTTCCTGTGGATCAGATACTTTGAAATGAAAAATTATGAGGACCCAGTGCATTTGCTCACTGTACATCTCTTTTATATTTATTCCTTACCTTTGACTTGGCTTGATCTACCGTAGAATGTTCCAGAAATTTCATTGGGTCTGATGTCTGATTTGGCGCTAATTTATGAGTCTGCTTGGAGTGTTTCCTTGGGCTTCAGTTATATGCCTGCCATAAATTTTAATTACGCTAATTAGACAGAGGTGGATGCCTAAGCCCAGTTGGATTCCTAACCCTGTTCAGCTGCATCTGTCATTAGTTTTTTCAGTGACATGATTTGGCACCATTTTCCAACACATTTTCAGAAAACTAGTTTTAAGTTAGAAAAGAACTTGCCTAATAAAGCTACTGACATTCAGCTATTTTCTTTACCTTCTTGGGGAACTGGGCGTGAGTAAAATGTGTGCATTTAAACTATAACTTGTATATTCTTTCCTCTTCATGCCTGTGGGTTATCTGATTGGTTTGGTACTTGAAGAAGGAGTCTTGCCCAGTCCTACAGCCAGGCTGACCAGTCCCGTGCTTATGTCTAGTTCAGGAAGAGTGTGGATTGGTGCAGGGCTGGCCGACAGCCCTAAACACGTGGACCAATGCCAGCTGACTGGCATTATCTGCAGGAAGCACAGTGTTGAGGAGGATTCTGAAGTCTGGACCCAGCAGGAAGGATGCCAGCTTTGATCAGTGACATGTGCCCTGGGCACGGGACAGTGCAGTCTCAGAAGCACTCTTGCCATTCCTGTTTTAGTGAGGATAATCCCATCCGTGCCTAATGCAAGTCTCTAAGAGCTCCAAGGCCAATTAGCATCCTCCAGACCAGGCTGGGCTGCCTGAACGCAGAGGGTGTCAAGCATCAAAAACTCCTAGAGGGCTTGTCAAAACCCAGGTTGCCCAACCCCAATCCACAGAGTGTGGCATTCAGCAGGTCTGGGGTGGGGCCTGAGGTTTGCATTTGTAACAAGCTCCTAGGTGATGCTGAGGCTGCCAGTCAGGGACCCCACTTTGAGAACCGCTGCCTTAGAGACTAGAGGGCTATGTGCACCTGCCACTTAGCTGTCCTCACAGCTCTCTGTCACCTCAGAGAAGTCTTTGGATTTTGGTTTGGGGCCCGTGTGCCAATCTCTGTCCTCCACAGCGCTGGGTTCTGGTCAGGTCTGGAGTTCCTTGTTTCTGCCTGGAAATAGCCCTCATCCTTAGCCATATGTAAACTTAAAGGGCTTAAAACATTCTACTCCTGGTATGAAAGGATGCTCTGAAAATACAAGTCACATCTCTTTCACTTACTCTGCATTCAGCACCGCCTCAGGGCACCAGTCTGTCTGCCAAGCGGGCACGCGGACATTTAGGCACACGGGGAGTGACGAGAGCCATAGTTTTACACCTTGAGGATGGTCGTGCTGACACAGTGCAGCTGACCGGTTTGTATCCACCCAGATTACCCCACACCACATCCACTCTCACCAGGGCTGAGTCCCATTCTTTCATATCCTTGCTGGCGTGTTTATTCTCCGTTTCATGCATTTAGCTTTTGTTGAGTATCTGCCCTCTGCCAGGCGTTTTGAATTTCATGCGTGGTCAAGGCGTCTGGCACGATACAGAATCCTGTGATGGGCGCATTTCTCTCCTGGGATTTTCTTAAGGCGGGCTCAGCAGTTAGGCACGGCAGAGAAGGCAGGAGGCCAGAAGCATCTCTCGTGTACAGCATGGTGTTTAGCTACTGCAGAGGGAGGGGCACAGAGAGAAATGAGCCGGCTCCATCCCGCTCCAGAACAGTACACAGAGGAAACAGCACCGTGCACGTGGGCGAGTTGGGGTCTGCCAGCCTTTTGGTCAGTTGTTTGAAACAAACATGATATGGTTACTGTCATCCTGAATCTCATAGGCTGGGGCATATGTTGCAAAGGACTTACACATCATTTTTGTTACACCTCATTTCCAGATCCTTTATTTTTGTCGTGTGAGGTTTTACTCAGTGCAATCATTCCCATATTTATCGGACTGAGTTTCTAGAATCCGTGTGATGGTGCTGAGGATGTGTGAAGACGATGTTTTTTCATGAAGCTCATGGATTTTTCTGTGTCCCTGTCTCGCAGAGTCTCAAGTATCCAGAGGCAGCTGGCCCAGTTTGAGAGCGAGTCCTGGCCGGGCATGGCCGAGGCCGACAGGGACCGGCTTCAGCTCATCAAGGAGAAGGAGGCCCTGCTTCAGGAGCTGCAGCTCATCATCCAGCAGAGGAGGCCGGCGGAGGACGTGGCCCGGCTGGAGGAGGAGCGGCGGCGCCTGGAGGAGGAGATCCAGTGCTCCCGGGCCACATCCGTGCAGGGTGCCACGGAAAGGTGGGCTGGCTGGGCGGGCGGGGCCGGCTTCCGGCGGAGGAGCAGCTGGCAAAGCCGAAGCCTTGTTACTCAGGCAGCTACGGCCTGGCGGGAGGTGGAGGGAGCCGGTGCCTGCCGTCTGCAGGGGGTGCCCAGGGCTCGGAGGCTCCCGGTCCCTATTACAAGTGGGAGGTGGTCGAGAACCGGATGGAGTAAGGAAGACTGGGGAACCCACCACTTAGACCCCGCCCACTCCCGCTGCAGGTGCCGGGTGCACCCGCCCCCTGTGTTTTCAGGACAGCGCCCAGGACAGGTGTCGGGTCTCCAGCCAACAGGGGGCTGGAGGCAGGTGGTGGTCGGCTCCGTGACCATGGAGGAACCTCGTTCCTGACAGCAGCATCTCCGTTTCCGGAGTCTACCTCTTACTTTTATCTCCGACTTTGATTTCTTGCCAGCAAAGCCTGTCCTTTTGGCAGCAGGAAGTCTCCGCTCTCTCGCGTGTCTTTCTGAACGTGCGTCTCTTCAGTTGGTCTTGGGGCTCTTTCCCAGAGTGGGACACATGAAGCCAGCACACAGTCCTTTGTCCTCTGTTGCTCGCCCTTTCATTGTGTGCCCTGTCTCCTGGTTTGCGTTTGCTGTGTGTGATCACAGATTGCTGTGTGATCACGGATTGCGTGGAAGGCTGGGTCTGCTTTCCACGTTGCACAGCTGTTAGAAGTTTGGGGATATTTGCTGAGCTTTGGAGAGCCCACCGCCCATTTGATAACATACTGGCTCCTTAAAATTCACTGTATTACCAGGATCATAAGCTGTATCTCTGTGAGCATTCTCTAGGTAGAGTTTAATAGTCACCTGAATTATTTGGTCAGTACAGATGCCCTTATAACGATTATTTCATCGAATGTTAGGACTGTCCTCTGTTTTTGCTGGGGGTTGTCTCTACTTGGATATTCATTGTTAATTGATAGATCTGTGTTGTGTCCTGAGGGGCTAATGTCAGCGCTGGAGGAAAGCAATGGTGATTGGAGAGTCCAGTGCATAGGAATGGGCAGAGAGCATGTTAGTTTGCCTGACGTGGTGGCGTACCCTGTCACCTCGCTCAAAATAAACCCAGAGCAACGGGACTATGAAATGGAAGTTTCATCTGTGCTCTTGTGCTTTTGTATCGTTTCAGCTTAACATCACCTTCCGTTCTCCCCATGCTGTTCTCTTGTGTATGTTTCAGGTCAGAGGGCCTGGGAGTTCTGGTTGGTTTTCTCTTAAGGGGCGAGGATTCAGTCCCACGAACACCACATGTCCACCACATGTAGCAGGACCCCACACCCATGTACCCTTGAGTGTTTCTGCCCTCACCACGTGGAAATCCAGAGTGCAGGAGTGCTGTGGTCCCAGGGCACAAATCCGTGGAACCCCACAGAGCTGGTTTTACCCTGATGCCTGGGTTCAGGGCCTGGGTCACCCAAGCTCGTTCACCTGACGGGGTCTCTTGTGGAACCGGCCTGGGAGCTGCATCCTGGGGCGCAGGGCCCTCAGCTGGGACTAAATTGGCCCCAGGTGTCTCCTGAATCTGGCACTACATGGCCTTGGGCAAGGAGGGCCGTGCACAGGTGCTAATAAGCACCTTTCCGGCCAGGTGATGGGGCCAAGTGCCCCATGAGTGTTCCCTCGGCGGTGACGTTCTGGGCCTAGCGGATGCGGGCCCGTTTCTCCCTGCCGCCTGGGGCCCGGAGGCGGGGGGCTTTCCCTGGGATCAGGCTGAGGGCGTTAGAAGAGACCCGGTCTGGGAGGAGGGAGCCAGGCAGAAAGGTATGGAGGTACGTGTCTCAGGGCTGACGTGTGCCAGCTGTTTGGCCAGGCCCAGTCTTTGCCCGTCTTGGTTTCAGTGACATCATTGTCAGATGGAAAGTTTGAGCCAGGTTAGTGAGTATTACTGGGGATTGGGGGGATGTAAGTTTTTTCCTCTTTCAAAGGAAAGAGCAATTGTTTTGTAGGGTGCCTACTTGGCCATATGTTAAACTGCCATCATTTTGAATTGTAAACGAGAACTGTTTTGTTCTAGAAGCAAACATATTCATTTGTATATTCACTTAATAACTATTTATCGAGTGCCTATCCATGTCGGGCTCTATTCTAGGCAGTGGGCGTAGCACTGTGGGGAAAAAAATTTCATTTTAGAAAATAATAAAGTTGAAAAAAGTAGGTAGAAAACTACCTCCAACACTGTGGCAGTTGTTTTTTTATTTTATGTGTGTTTAATCTTTTAATTCTGTAGATTTTAGAACTGCACGTAGTTTTGCCTGGAAGGGGGCTTAGCATGAGGGAACCTGATTTGTTCCAAGGAATTCCAGTAGATTACTGCATGCTGTACATTTGTATCCATATTCTAGTCTAGTCTCCCATCCATCTGTTCATCCACCCACACCCATCCTTCCACACATCTCAGCCATCCATCCGTATGCCCATCTGCCTGTCTGCTATCTGTCCATCCAATCCACCTGTTCACCTATCCGTCTGCCTGTCCCTCCTCCCACCCCTGCATCCGTCAGTCCATCCAGCCACCCACCCATTGATTTATCCATCCGTCTTTCCACCCATCCATCCACGCATGCATGCATGCATGCATCCATCCATCCACCCACCCATGCATTCATCCGCCTATCCACCCATGTGCTGAACTTCTACAGTGTATCAGGCACTGTTCAGGCAGCCAGTGGTATATTTTTAAGCAAGACAAAAACAGTCTGTTATCTTGGTGTTTATGACCTTGGATGTGCTTTTTTAGAATTTAGTCATTGACACCTCAATCAGTTTGGGGGAATTTACAGTTGAATTTCTTGTTAGGAAAATATACTTGGCATCTTTGAAATCCACCAGTGGACTCTTTTCGTACCTACAGGATTCTACTTCAGGAAAAAAGAAACTGTCTCCTGATGCAGCTGGAAGAAGCTACCCGTCTAACGTCCTATCTCCAGTCCCAGTTACAAAGGTGGGTAACTTGTTATCATCTTATAACGACGTGGCCGTGAACTTCACAGTTCCCTTTGGCTTGGTTTTCTCTCCTAGAACTTGGAACCTGCAGTGGTTGTAAACACTGGACAGGGAAGTGTGGATACACAATATTTTTAAGAGGAGCTACTCATATATGATCCAAGGAATACGAGGAGAACCAAGAGTGACTTCAGAATAATGAATCATTTATCGAAGGATTTTGTAACTCACAGCATCAGGAGTGTATATATCCATCTACATAGATGCACACATAGACTTTTAATTATTTCCTTTTAAGATATTCATTTTAATTAGGCATGAATATCTTTAAAATCCGATTTGGATGCTCAGTAAGAGCTGCAGTTTTCAAGCACTTACCATGTCGTGAAGTGTAGTGTTAAGGGCTTTCTGTGTATTATTTTCTCAGTTCTCCCCCTCACAGCGCCTTGAGGCAGGAACCGCTATCATCCCAGCGCCGGGTGAGAAGGTGGGAGGCTCGGAAAGGGCAAAGCCCTTGACCAAATCAAATGCATTCAGCTAGTCTTGAGTGTGAGCTGGAACTTGAACTCGAGCAAGAGCCCTTGACGTTAACTACTGCTCTCGACTGACATTCAAAGAAACAAAGGAAATGTTTACGAAGGGGCGGGGGTGGGGGGGTGTCTTAAAACGCTCACAGGTGCTCAGAGGTGTTGAAGAGGCGCCGGGGTGAACGGGCCCGAGGCAGTTTTGCTCCTCTGGAGCAGACCGGAGGCGCGGCTCCCGGTGGGGACGGGCAGGCTCCAGCCACGGGCTCCATCCTGCTCTTCTCGTTTCAGCCTGTCCGCCAGCACCCTGACCATCTCCTCGGGGAGCAGCCGCGGCTCCCTGGCCTCCAGCCGGGGCTCGCTGGCCTCCAGCCGGGGCTCCCTGAGCTCCGTCAGCTTCACCGACATCTACGGCCTCCCGCAGTACGAGAAGCCCGACGCCGAGGGCGGCCCGCTCCTGCGCTTCGACCTCGTCCCCTTCGACTCCCTGGGCCGAGACGCCCCCTTGGTGGACGCCCCGGGCCCCGCGGGCCTCCACAAACAGAGGCGCTCCCTGGACACGCCGCAGTCCTTGGCGTCCCTGTCCTCGCGCTCCTCGCTGTCCTCGCTGTCCCCGCCCAGCTCGCCCTTGGACACGCCCTTCCTCCCGGCCTCGCGAGACTCGCCCCTGGCGCAGCTCGGGGACGCCTTCGAGGTGGCGGGCGTGGGTGCCCTGGACAGGCTGCGAGCTCAGGCCTCCGCAGTGGGGGACGAAGACACGCCGGGCGCGGCGTCCTTGCCGCCGCATGGGTGTCCCGGGGACGGGGAAGGACCTCGTGAGCGAGGACCCCAAGCGGCTGCCGCTCCCACGGCTGCAAGTACGTACTGATGGGTCCGGTGGGTGCCCCGGGGCGGGGGAGGAAAGGTCTCGAGTTCAGGGAGGAAGCCGTGCGTCCGCATAGAAGCCAGCTGGCTCTGCTGTGGCCTGGTGAGCCCTCAGCTTAGGACCCTCCAGGGCAAGAGGAGGCCCGCGCGCCCGCTCGCTCGCTCGCTCGCTCGTTCGTTCTGCGTTCTTTGGCCCTGGGTCCTTGAAATGTCATGGAAACTGGCAAAGTAGTCTTTTCCAGGCATTTGGCTTGTTTTCAGAATATACTTAATTGTCGAAAATGAGACAGTTCCTCCACATTCGGAGGCTGATAAAGAAGTACTCGGGCCTTAACTCTCCAGGGCGTGTGCCCAGATACAGCGTTGTGTGTGTGTGCCCGCCTCAGACCAGCCTTGGGACTGCTGTCTGGCTGTGGCCCGGCAGAAATCTCTGCTTCCGTTGGCCCTGTGACTTCATCTCTTCATCCTTTGTCCTTGTACTTTTTTTTTTTAATTTATTTTTGGCTGTGTTGGGTCTTCGTTGCTGTGCGCGGGTTTTCTCTAGTTGCGGCGAGCAGGGGCTACTCTTCATTGCGGCGCGCGCGCTTCTCATTGCGGTGGCTTCTCTTGTTGCGGAGCACGGGCTCTAGGTGTGCGGGCTTCAGTAGTTGTAGCACGCGGGCTCAGTAGCTGTGGCTCGCGGGCTCTAGAGCGCAGGCTGAGTAGTTGTGGCACACGGGCTTAGTTGCTCTGCGGCATGTGGGATCTTCCGGGACCAGGGCTCGAACCCGTGTCCCCTGCATTGGCAGGCGGATTCTTAACTACTGTGCCACCAGGGAAGCCCTGTCCTTGTACTTTTCAAGGACATAATTCTATCACGGAGGGAGTGAAAATATCAGTCCTTTCTACCGAATCGATTTCTCTGCTGCTCTTGAAATCCAGAAACATGTAGCCATGAGAATTTCATCTGTCCAGTTGGTGTTAATTCAGCTTCTGCTTGGTGCCAGCGTCTGTCAGCTTGTAGCCCACATGGAAAGCCAGACTGCTGTTGTGGGGAGTATTCTGGCTGATGGCTGGTGCACAAAGCAGAGTCTGGGCTTCACCCTCCTTATCTTCACCCCGAGTGCTTTTGTGAGCCAACCTCTAGCGACTTTAACTTCCTTAATTTTAAGAGAAGATCAGAACAGGCCTCTCATTCCTGAAGTTCAGCCCACTTAATTTTTATTTGCACAGCAAAACTGTTTTTAGACATTCCATTTAGGCGAACACTAGATAATTTGTATAGCATAGTGGATCTCAACCAGGGGTGTTTTTGACCCCTGGAGACACTTGGCAGACATTTTCAGTTGTCACACTGTGGGGCTGGTGAGGTGCTACTGGCATCTGGTAGGTGGAGACCAGGGGCAGTGCTCAACATCCTACAGTGCACAACATGGTCCCCATCGTGGCTGGAATGATCCAGCCAAAATGTCAAGAGTGCCGAGGCTGAGAAACCCTGGTCATGTACTGTTAAGCAGTCAGCAGCAAAAGGTGGAAATAAAACGTGAATACAAAACCAGGGTGATGTAGCAGAAATGGCTTCGAACTAGCAGCTTATACCCAGATTCTGTTCCCTGCCCTGTTGACTCACTAGCTGTGCGACCTTGAGCGCAACCTTAGATGGAGCTGAGTCTCAGCTTCTGTGCCCTTGAATGAGGTGATCTTTATGGGCTCTTCCATTCACCACCATTCTGTTACCTGTCGGGTTCTTTTATGTATACCCACGCGGGTTATTATATATATGTAAGATAATAGTGTCTTGTAGCATTTACGTGTTTAACCAGAGATCCATTATGTTCTGCGGCAGCCCCGAGCCTTTTTGGCATCTCTGTTATTTTGGTGTCTCCCCCTCTGCGTTTGCAAACACACCTTTCATATCCCCAGATACGTCATTTCTGTAATTCACATGTACAGGGGAACTTTATTCGCTTTGTTCTTTGTTGCAATCACAGGTTCAGTGCTCCATGTTTATTCAAAAAAGAAAATACAAAATAAGGACTGAATCGTGCATCTGTTGCTTGAGCTTCCTCTTCTCAGTGTCCAGCCCCCCCGTACCAACTTTTCTTTAAAGGCTGAGATACAAGAGTGTCTGTCTACTTATGCAGGAAATCCACACAAGGTCCAGCACCGCTTTTGGTCCAGGGGAAAGACTGGGTGGGAAGGGGAAGAGCTGACTTAATTTCTGATCCTGATTTCTTTATTTTTCTTTTCTACTTTGTGGTGGATGTTATAGTGCTTCAAGCTTAGACTGGGAGGTCTTTGCTTATGGTGTGGTCAGATACTGCCACCTCGTGGTGCGTTCATATATGACACTCTGGGTAGAATACAAACTAGAGGTACTTGACTTAGTGAATGGGTCTTGGTAGGTGCTCTCGCAGGGCTGGGTTGGGTGAGCAGCTTCAGGCATGGACACAGGGTGACTCCTTGCCTCCCGTGATGCTTATGAAGCCTAGAGTCATCGCAGCTTCATAAAGTTGGCGACGATCTCAATACTCGTTATGTTAACCCCACCCCTCATTTATGATGCCCGAGGTCACGTAGTTCCCTCCACTCTCCAGTCTGAGTAAGAACAATACAGTCTAAGTTTGACTCAAGGAAGCTTTAGCGAGAAAAATTTTTAGTAACATAAAATTCAGAATTGCCCATTGTGTTTTAAATCAACCTGAGGGGACAGAAGGTGGGGCAGGGGAGTGGGGAAATAAATTGTCATCTTTAACAGTTTTTACATGTTTACTACAATTTTATCTTCCCCACATTTTGAAAATCAAATGTGTCATGATTTTGAAATCCGTTCCCATTTTCATTTCCCACTGGTATTTGGTAATATAAGTCGGTAAATATTTTAACCTTGTTCATTTGTTTATTGATGTTTTTTATTACATTCAGACCCTGTTTAAAATTGTTGGCTTAAATTCTACAGTTTTTTCACTTTGTGCTTTTTTTTTTTAATCTCTTTTCTCATGCGGCTCGACAGAAACGTTCACTGTAAGTGACCTTGGACTTCTCCTTCGCCTTGCTGGTCAGGCTGTGCCACATCTTTGTGCAGTGAATCGATGTATTTAGGATGGTCGGGGTGTGGTCAGGAAGGGCATAGCTCATAGCTGTGCTTTAATGTAGCTCAACAGTTGCTCTCATTATTGTTGTTGTCGTTTGAACGGTATTCATCCTGGCTATGAAAGTTGTGTAAGAACTTTTCTAAGAGCTTGACGTATTTTTTCCTTCTTGCGTTTTTTCCCCAGACTTTAACACTTTCGTTATTTTAATACGCCAGCTGGCAGCTTTGCCCACGATGTGATTCTCCTTATACTTTCCTCCCTTTTGTCAAGCAGCGTTGCTGTCCTTAGGTCTCAGTGTCTGTTTGTCTGTGTTTAATGATGGAAAGGTCTGAGGTTTATAAAACGAACGTGTGGAAGCTTGTTTATTCCTTACTTCACTGGCGTTGCTCCCCACTCTTTGTCTCGTTGCCTTGAAGCCCAGGAGCAGATGGTTGCAGTGTGTACTGTGGGGTGTGCCGTGTGCTTTCTTTCTCACCAAGGGCAAGTGCTGACCGTACCTCCTTCTGTCAGTTGCATCCAGTTGCTCCTTGAATGTGCTAAGCCCAGGATCACTGAGGATTGATTCCCCCATTTCCTTTCTCTCTTCATCCACTTTCATTGCAATGAGAGAGAAATTTTGGCAGTCACACCATTGGGTTGCCTGGAAGTTAACTGGATCACTGTGTGGTGTTACTTCCTTAAAGGCATGTAGGGCCGAGTGTCAGGGCTGGGAATGGAAGTAGTGAGCCATTGTGTTTGCTGGGGTTCCATGGAGCAAACTGAGGGCTTCTATCTGCAGTTTAGAGCTGGAGGCTCTGGGTCCTTCCATGGGGCCGGGGTGGCGAGCAGAGCTGGACTTGGGAGTCGTCATCTACAATCTGAGAGTCGGTGCCTCCGGCCACCCCAGGACGGAGCCAGCTTCTGCCCCTGACCGAGGCGGGGCCGGTGGCCCCCACGCTGGGCGCTGCAGGCCTTTGAAAGGTCGGCTTTTGTCTGCAGTTAACATCGTGAGACCAAAGGCCACAGCCCTGTCTGTTTTGTACCCCGATGAATATATTTGGGTTTAATTGTTCTGTGAATAATAAATTGGTTGAACAGAGAGACGGTCATTGGTGGACTCGCTATTTCCCTCAACTCAGGGGTGCACAGGTGTCTAGATTTTCAATTTCTAGAGCTTAGATGTCTGGAGAACATAGAAAGACAAGAGGGACCTGCATTATTAACAAGAGGCATCGTGATGCCAGAGTGAGGCTCAGTTTGGGGCTTCATGCTTTAAGCCTGTGTTCTAACCGTGTGTGCCTCTCTCAGAAGCGTTGAGGTTCCTGTGTCCATCGTCACATTTAGCAGCGGGAGACGGCATGCCTCTTTCTGTTGCTTTTGTTAAAAGAAACTTGTTGCTGTGAGGGAAGGAGTAGAAAGAGTTGATGAAATGATAAAAGGGAAAATGTCAGTGGTTGTCTTTGGCTCTTGGTTACAATAGATACGAGACAAAAATAAGCCGCCCAGTGATGGTCCTTTCTAATCCCAGGAGACAGTTCTGGAAGCCAGTGTGGCCCCAGGGCTGCTGAGGAGGGCGCTGCAGTTAGAGCGGCAGAGGGGTCACGGAGACGTTGGCAAAGGCCCAGTCTGGGTGCATCTGTGTCCTCTTGACTCGAAAGTCACTCCATTTTGTTGGGGGTTATTTGATGATTTTTAAAAACTCTCTTTTCTGATTATAAAGCAGTGTAGCCTGTATTCCTTGTATAAAGTATGGAGAATACCAAGCAGCGTCAAGGAGGAAACACCCCCCACCTGCTTCTCGGAGAGCGCGCTGCCGTCCACGTGCAGGCGAAATCTCTCTCCAGGCTTTCCCGTGTGACGCTCTCTCAGAGGGCCACGCCAAGGGCCTTCCCGCCACCTTCTGACCTGTGTGCTCATTAAGGAGGTGAAGGGAGATTGATGATCATTTAAAGAGCTTTTAAAGAAGTAGCCAGAAGCCTGTTTGTTCCATTTTCCAATATAAGGAAAGACTCGAGCAGAGTGCATGTAAACACACATCTGCACACGTGCTGGCCTGTCTCTGCCACTTCGTGCCTTTGTCTCTGCTCTGCCCTGGGCTCCCGCACTGTCGCCTCCTGAGCCCGGCCGTGTCTCTCGCCTGCAGCAGCGACCCCCCGAGAAGACAGCACCCAGAGGCTGGAGCGGAGAGCGCGCTGCGTGTCCGCCTGCCTGTCCGATTACTCGCTGGCCAGCGACAGCGGCGTGTTTGAACCTCCCACCAAAAGGTTAGAAGCTGACCTTCTCCCCTGCCTGGGCTGACTTCCCAAAAGGCACCCCTGCCGAGACCTGTCTGGCTTGACACTCTGTGTGTCTCCGGGGTGCAGCTCTCCTGGCTTCTCTCCATGCGGGAGGGGCCCTGAGCATCCCCACGGACCCCCTCTGCTCCCAGGTGGCGTCTGGGGAGTGGCCTGGCTTCGGGCATCTAGGATGACTGCTTTCTCTCCGGCCCCGGGGGTTGGAAGGCATGAGCCCAGTGGAGCCGGAAAAGGAGAACCAGTGTGCGAGGGAGACCTGCTTTTCTAGAAAGGACGTTCACTAGAAATGGATGTTTCCCCCGCCCCCTTTCCTTAGCTGGAGGAATCACTTTGCAAGGACAAAACCCCTTGTGGGCTTTATTTTGTTTGAGACCTTTGATGTCATTTTTTCAGCTCAGATATCTGTATACATTTCACTTATCGCCAACTTTTTTTTTTTTTTTTTTTTTTTGGCTGCGCTGCTCAGCTTGCGGGATCTTAGTTCCCTGACCAGGGATCGCATCCGCGCCCGCTGCAGTGGAAGCGCGGAGTCTTAACCACTGGACCGCCAGGGAAGTCCCCCCTGCAAAGCTTTTAAGAGTATATGTTTTTGATCTTTGTCGTAAATATCACATGTGGTTTTGAGAGGTATTTTCTCAAAGAGGCCACTTCGTCAGCAGGTACCCTGGGAGGTGACGTCATGGATCCTGGGGACCTGCCGTGCCCTGCCAGTCACTTAAAGCATTTATTTATGTCGCAACTTAATAAAGCCCTTCTCAGTAAGAAGCACCCCTAGTGTGAGAGAGCTTCTGCCGAGCCCGAGGTAACCAGGCCCCCTCGGAATAACGCGGTGCCTTTCCGACTGTGTTCAGGAGTGAGGATGCTGACGACCCTGCGCGTGGAGATGCTTGCGGTAACGAGGGGCCCCAGATCCATGTTGGATTTTTGTGAGTACAGAAGACTCCTTCCCTGTTGCTCGTAAAGACGATGGGTAGATTGGGGCCCGCCCGGCGACTCACACCTCCACACACAGGCCAGGAGGGATGGAGGGACCCGCGTGATCCGGCTGCTGCTCCCTGGCCTGGGTGTCCCCGGGCCCATCTCAGCGGTCTCAGGTGAAGGGACAGAGGTGGCGGGAAGGAGAGATGGGCAAGAGCGGCTCCGTTGCCGTCCTCCAACAGCGAGTCACAGCCGGGGACTCTCACCCCATGGGCACAGTCAGGCCCTCGGGGAAGTTCCCGCCGGAGCTGGGGTAGCCAGGTGCTGTGCAACACTAAGCGTTCTGGTTTCTAGCTACAGTGTCTAGAAAGGCAGTAACCAGCAGTGTTCAGACGAACAAGGCAGGATGTTCACATCCCAGCAGCTTTCTTTTGCTCACTCTTGTCATCCTAGTGTTTCTCGGCACTCGTGACGTTCGGGCTGGGTCACTCTCGGTGGGGGGCCGTGCTGTGCCCTCTGGCGTGTTGAGCAGCAGCCCTGGCCTCCACCCACTACACGCAGTAGCCCCCCTCCACTCAGTGTGACAGTAAGAAACGCCTCTAGACTTTGCACAGGTCCCCTGGGGGTGGGGTGAGGACCACTGCAGTAGTTCAAGCAGGATTTCTGCACCGTGGGGCATTTGTAGTCTGTGAACATGCATTTTATTTTCTAGGCACGACAGTGCCAGCGAGTGTCTCCTCGTGAACGTGCTCCAACTGAAGAACTTTGCTGGGCTGGTGGTGAAGGAAGACTGCAAAATGTAAGCTCCCGCGCCAGTGGGGGCCGTGTCCTCCCCCCGGGCCCTCCTCCACACGGCACCACTGGCTGACCTGCTGCACGTGGCAGTTTGGGGAGGGAAAAGACTGTCTTGGAACCTGAATTTACAATAATACGCTAGGGGGTGTCTGTCTGAAATCTAAAGGATTGTACGTTTTAAGAAGAGGCTGGTTTATTATTTGAGGCAGGTGGAGTTACTGGAGCCAGGCTGGTCATGTGCCGTGGCCATGCTGACAAAGTGCCGGGTGCCCATCATTGGCAGCGCTGGGGCTTAAAACGTCCATTCTGATCACAAGGCTGGTGGCGACACAGTCACACTCGGCTCTTGCGATCTGATGAGGTGCCTGAAGAGGCCTCAGGCTGGGCTCAGGCATCCTTGTCCGAGCAGGGAGAAGGAAATCTGTGTTGTCCCCAGTGGGGAGATGGGTGCCCGATGGGGGTGTGAGGTCCCACTTACCCTGGCGGGTGAACCCACCGGTGATGGGTGTTCACGCCCGACGGTGCCCTCCCCTTCCGTGAGTCGTCTTTGTAAACTGGCCTCCCGAAGGCCTTGGAAGCAGCCTGGTTTTCAGCAGCTGAGCGTTCGCCCTGGGATTCTGCTCGCCCTGGCGTGTACTTCACTCCACTGATGCTGGAGCTTCTCCTGGATGCTGGCTTCCACGCTGGGGGTGGATAGGGCCGGGAGCCCAGCCCGGCGGGTGCCTGGGTGGGCAAGCACTCTGAGAGGCAAGGCAGGTAGGGCTTGGAGAGGGAGCCAGGGGGCCGTGGAGAGATCAGTGCAGATGTTTTCCCACAAAGATGGTAAAAGCAGAACCTCCGTTTGAGTCGCCCTGAAGTCCTAACCACTGACTTGGAAGTCTTCTCTTTGTGATTGGGTTTTTCCCCCGATCTCCAGGGGCACGTAAGTTCTTTGGGCTTACTCTTAGTTGAGAAAAGGATCTTTTCCAAAAGACATTAAAATTCTGCACATGGGCAGTGGAACAGGGCGGCGTATGTGCACACGTATGTGGTCCATGCGTGTCACGTGCAGATGTGTCAGGCTGCCTCTGTCTGCTTTTTCCTTCCTCTCTTGGTTCCAGACACATCCGCGTCTACTTGCCCCCGCTTGACTCCGGCACGCCAAACACTTACTGCTCTAAGGCTCTGGAATTGCAAGCCCCCCTGATATTTAATGAAGTTTTCAGAATCCCTGTGCATTCAAGCATGGTGACGTTGAAGTCCCTTCAGTTATACGTGTGCTCAGTGAATCCGCAGCTGCAGGAAGAACTGCTGGTACGGCGCCCTCCTCACCCTCTCCCCCTCCCTCCCCTCCTTCCGGTGTCCTGATGTCAAGTGATCTCTGTAGCTGGGAGGACAGAAAGGGATGATAAGACCCCTTATCTTGTCAAGTGTTCTGTAGTTTAAATATATTATCTCAGCTAATACTTGCAAAACTCCTGTGCAACGGCTTCTGCATTATCCCTGTCTTGCGTTGAGAAATTTGGTAGATAGAAGTATAGGATGGTCACTTAAATTTGAATTTCAAAGAAACTATGGATGCCTTTTAGTGTAAGTATGTCCCATGTAATATCTGGGACATACCTCTATTTAAAAAAAATCTGTTTATTTGAAATTGCAGTTCACCCAGATGCCCTCTATTTTATCTGGCAACCTTATAACTGGGCAGGTCAGCAGTCCGTCTTCACCCCGGCCAGCCAGTGCAGGGCCAGGGCTTGGAAGCCAGGGTGCTTTCTTCCCAAGGTTGGAATTTTCCCCCTTGGTCCCACCCCTTCAGCGGCAGAATTAGAGATTGGAGAGTTCCACCAATCCTCTCTCTCTCTCTTTTTTTTTTGGGGGGGGGGTGGGGTTATTTATTTATTTATTTATATTATTTTACACCAGTCCTCTGTTTTTTCAAAAATTCCTGCTAGAATCAGCGGCTCTCTGAGTGGCAGATCCTGAACCTGACCCACCATTCCATGTCGTCCATTCTCTGCCCCTGTTCCCCTTCTAGCACTTTCTGATTGGGCTGAACAAGCAAGCGAGGAGCCACCCCCATTACGATCCTTTTTGATGACTTTCATTTTACTGCAGTCCTTTGAATAGCAGTGACACATTGTATGGCCTTTCTGCTTAAGATTAAAGGGTGACTTTGATGCCCATTGGTTGTTAAGGTGTAGTCATTCAGGGCCTGTTCTGCTCTTTTTTTAAACACCACACAGGGCATTGCTCAGATTAACTTGGCTGATTACGATGGTTCGAGTGAGATGCAGCTGCGCTGGTACTCGGTGCAGGTGTTCACCGGCCCTGAGCCCCCGCGGCGGGAGGACGAGCGGCTGGGACACAGCGACTCCCGGGATCCTGTGGCCGCCACGTCTGGAAAGACAGTAAGTGGCCTGGCTTTGAGACGGGCTTTTCCTGGAGACATTGTTTCTAAGAAACGCGTGTAGACTTAGAACACAGTGGCGACGAAGAAGCAGGGTTTCAAGGGAAGTAATAAAAACGGACTATAGTGATTTATGTGGCCATTCATGGTAATATTCTTTAATGCAACTTGTTCATGATCATGAGTGATACATTGGTTGCTTTAAAATCTGAGTCCTCAGAGCCACATGGAAAGGCCAAGTTACTGTCTTGCTGCCAGCCGGGGGTGAGCTGCTTCCCTGCTGGAGAGCAGCCGGGGACGGCCACCAGCCCGGCAGCAGGGATGCTCCCCACGGGCCGTGCACGCGCTGCTTTCCGCTTTGCCGCCCGCACGCCGCTGGCCTCGGCTGCTTCTTAGAAACGTCCCTTTGGTCCTGTAGGACGCGGTGACGGTGCTGCTGGCGAGAACCACGGCCCAGCTGCAGGCGGTGGAGAGAGAGCTGGCCGAGGAGCGGGTGAAGCTGGAGTACACGGAGGAGGAGGTCGTGGAGATGGAGCGCAGGGCGGAGCAGGCCGAGGCTGTGTCCGAGAGGTGAGCGTGGCCAGCAGCCCCTCGGGGGAGAGGCCGCCGGGGTGTTCGTCAGGCGCCACGCTGCGTAGAATGTGTGCGGCGGGCTCTTCGGTACCTTTGCCCAGAAGTCAGGATTCTCACAGGGGATCGTATGCCAGTCTGCATGAGGGCAGTACATTGACCCCAGCTCTACGCATAGGCTTTTCACCTTTCCCTCTGTTCCCCGAATTTCTCTTAAAGGGGGGGACTGTTGAGGGACTCCCTCTGCCCAGATTGAATACAATAGGGCCCTTTAAGTTTTGTTTTTTTCTTTATTAACTGCTTTATTGGGATATAATCTCCCTACCATACAGTTCACCCATTAAGTGGACAATTCGGTGGTTTTTAGTACAGGCACAGAGCTGTGCCCCCAACATCACACTCAAGTTGAGGGCGTTTTCATCGTGCCGAAAGGAAACCCCATACCCATTACCAGTCCGCCCAGTCCTCCCAGCCCCTGGCAACTGCCCGTCTGCGTGCCATCTCCAGGGATTTGCCTGTCCTGGGCCTTTCTTGTAAATGGAATCATGCGATGTCCCTTTACGTCTTCCCCGGAGCAGCCTGTGGGTGAGCGCTGGACTCGGGGCAGACATGTCTGCAGTAGAGGAATAGCTCAGATGGGCAGGCACCGCGAGGGAATCGCTTCCCGGCGGGTCCTTTCCAGCAGCACTTTCGTGTTGCTTTACTTCCACGGTTTTCCATAAAGAGCATCATGTTTCCAAAGCTTGCTACTTCTTCCTAACAGCTTTCTCTGGATTTATTTTCAAGAGGAATTTATTTCCGAAAGAGAAAGTGCACGGCAGAGGGGAAAGGGTGTGTGTTCAGGGATGGGCAGGAGGCTGGGCGGGCTCGGGGAGAGGGGGTTCCAGGATGCTGGCATCTTCAGCGGCTGCAATTGGGCGATACACACAGACAGACCCTCTTAATGAAAGGCCTTGTAGCTCTGTCTTCCCTACGAAACAGAACTGCCTTTCATTTTATAAGAAAAGCAACTGTCTTCAGTCACTGGAAGCAAATATTGGGTGTGTCTGCTGCTGTGCTCTGAGTGCAGCAGTAAAGTCAGTGCCCTGATGAACATTTTGGGGGCTTTTGCCATGCCCGCCTTCAGGAGTTGGCAAGCCGACTCGGTGGACAGTGGCTGTAGCAGCTGCGCCCAGACCAGCCCCCCGCACCCAGAGCCCTGCTGCGTTGGTGTCAGCTCCATCCAAGGACACACGTTTGCTGGCCAGGCAGACCCTTACGGCCCGGAGAAACTTCAGCCCCCACCTCTGAAGGTAAGCAGAAAAGGACAAAGGATTTCGCGGAGCCCCTGATCTTTTGCCTCACAGCACCAGGTGCTGCCCTGGAAGGAGGGCCTGTGTGCCCTACATGAGGGAACTGAAGTGAGTGGCCTCAGGTCTGTAAACAGCAGGTACCATGGAAACGTCTGTCTACTTTAAATTAAAAGGAAAGGACAATTAAACGGGGTGGATTTTTACTCCTTCGTGTGCCATCTTCAGGGCCGCGTGTGGCTCAGGGTGTTTTGTGGGTCCCTAACGTTTTGGACGCTTGTCGTTTTTCTCCGTTTCTGACATTAAGAGCAGTGAAGCATCCTTTTGCCCCTTCTGTTCACCCGATCCTAGTTGTGCCCATCACTGTATCTCCACTGGGGAAATCTTTCAGGTTTGTGGTGACAAATGTCTAAGGAACGCAGTGGGGTTGGGAGACACTGTATCAGTGCTCGATTGCAACTTCGTTTCCCAACTGTTCAACTCATCAGAACATCTACCACCACAGCCCCTGATCTCAGTCCAAAACACAGGTCCTGAGAGAAGTGAGAGCTGCCTGCTTGCAGCCTCCCGCACTGCAGCCCATGCAGTGCCTCGGGCGGAGAGATGTTCTGGGCGCGACTGCCGGTCATGGCCATTATTCCTCTTTCTAAGAGTTTGACAAGCGTTGGCCCACATCAGGGGCAGTAGCTGTGGGAGGCTAGCTTGGTGTGTCCGCCTCCCTCAACTTTTAATTTTGAAGCACTTCAGATCTACAGAGAAGTTGCTAGAATAGTACAACACATACTCGTATCCCCTTCAGCTAGACTCCCCAGTTGTTAGTTCTTCACCACATTTGCATTATCTCTTTCTACGTGCATGTGGTAGCTGCCAGGCATTGCAGATGCAACAGCAAAGTAACAAATGGAAAGTCCTGCCCTGTGGGTAACAGGGTAAACCAGTAAAATACAGCAGCATTTGTGATAGTCAAAGGGGCTACTGAAGAATGAGATGGTAGGGAAGCAGGGTTTGCATTTTTAGAAAGATTTACCATTTTAGAAAGGGTTACATTTAGTAATGTAAATTGGCATCTACAAACATCAGGACTGTAAAATGGTGCAGCCGCTATAGAAAACAGTATGGAGTTTCCTCAAGAAATTAGAATTAGGACTTCCCTGGTGGTGCAGTGGTTAAGAATCCACCTATCAATGCGGGGGACACGGGTTCAAGCCCTGGTCCGGGAAGATCCCACATGCCGCGGAGCAACTAAGCCCGTGAGCCACACGGCCCGCGCGCCCATGCTCGGCAACAAAAACAAGCCGCGGCGATGAGAAGCCCGCACATCGCAACGAAGAGTAGCCCCTGCTCGCCGCAACTAGAGAAAGCCTGTGCGCAGCGCCTGTGCGCAGCAGTACAGACCCAATGTAGCCAAAAATAAATAAATCTATTTAAAAAAAAATTAAAAATAGAATTACCATATGATCCAGCAATTCCACTTCTGGGTGTACATCCAAAAGAGCTGAAAGCAGGTCTCCAAGAGATACTTGCACATCCACGTTCATAGCAGCATTATTCACAGTAGCCAAGAGGTGGAAGCAGCCCATGTGTCCATTGACAGCTGAATGGATAAGGAAAAAGTGGTATATATGTACTATGGAATATTAGCCTTGAAAAGGAAGGAAGTCACGTCACAGGCTACAACATGGATGAAGCTTGAAGACATTGTGCAAAGTGAAATAAGCCAGTCACAAAAGAATGAATCCTATACGATTCCACTTATATGAGATTCCTAAAGTAATTAAATTCATAGAGATAGAAAGTAGAATGGTGGTTACCAGGGGCTAGAGATGGGGAAATGGGGCGTTGTTGAATGGGGACAGAGTTCAGTTTGGGAAGGTGAAAAAATTCTAGAGATCTCTTCCACAACAATGTAAGTATATTTAATACTACTGAACTGCACAATGAAAAATGGTTACAATGGTAAATTTTACTTATTTACTTATTGTTGGCTGCGTTGGGTCTTCATTGCTGCGTGCGGGCTTTCTTTAGTTGCAGAGAGCAGGGGCTCTCTGTTGTGATGTGCAGGCTTCTCATCGTGGTGGCTTCTTTTATTGTGGACTGTGGGCTCTAGGCGCGCAGGCTTCAGTAGTTGTGGCGCGCAGGCTCAGTAGTTGTGGCGCACGGGCTTAGTTGCTCTGCGGCATGTGGAATCTTCCCGGACCAGGTCTCAAACCCGCGTCCCCTGCATTGGTGGGTGGATTCTTAACCACTGCGCCACCAGGGAAGTCCATGATGGTTAACTTTATGTATTTTTTATAATAGAAATGAAAGGTCATAGAAGTCTCACTGAGAAGGCAGTTTTTGAGCAAAGTCCTTAAGGAAGGAGTCTGGGAGCCTTGTGTGGGGCTGGGTATGGGCATTCAGGTGCAGGGAGCTGCAAGTGCAGGTGGGGTCGGGGTAAGGAGGCATCAGAGCTGAGGACAGAGGGAGTCAAGGGGCCACATCATATAGGGCCTACTCAGGACTGTTGATTTTTCTCTGAGAGCATTGGAAAACTGGTGGATAGTTTTGAACCCAGGGGTGATGTGATCTGACTCACTTTTTAAATTTTTTCCTAGAATAATTTATTGACATGAAATTCTCATGAAATGAACCCTTTCAAAGTGAACATTTCAGTGAGTTTGAATACATTTACAATGTTGTGCAACCACCACTTGTCTCTGGTACCAAGACGTTTCTTTCACCCCAAAGTAAAACCCCATAACCATTAGCATTCACTCTCCCTTATCTCTCCCCGGCCCCTGGCAACCACCAATCTGCTTTGTTTCTATGGATTTGCCAATTCTGGTTGTTTTGTGTAAATGGAATCATCCAGGGTTTAAAAGATCAGACTCCAGGGGATCGTAGCCAAGATGACAGAGTAAGGAAGAGCTCATCTCCACCCACAGGTGTACCAAAAGTACGACTGCAGTTGACCCTTGAAAAACACAGGGGTTAAGGGTGCTGACCCACCTCACAGTTGAAAATCTGCATTTGGGAGGTTTTTTTTTTTTTTAACACCTAAAGGAACTAGAAAAAGAAGAACAAATAAGATCCAAAGTTAGTAGAAGGAAAGAAAGAAAGATCAGAGCAGAAATTAATGAAAGAGACTAAAAAGAACAATAGAAAATATCAGTGAAACTAAGAAGTGGTTCTTTGAAAAGATAAACAAAACTGGTAAACCTTTAGACTCATCAAGAAAAAAAGAGAGCCTAGATAAATAAAATCAGAAATGAAAAAAAGAGGGGACTTCCCTGGTGGTCCAGTGGTTAAGACTCACAGACTGCATGGCATAGCAAAAAAAAAGAAAAAAAGGAAACGAAAAAAAGAAGTTACAGCTGACACCACAGAAATACAAAGGATCATAAGAGACTACTATGAACAGTTGTATGCCAGTAAACTGGACAACCTAGAAGAAATGGATGAATTCCTAGAAACATACAATTTCCCAAAACTGAATCAGAAAGAAATAGAAAATATGAACAGACTGATTATTAGTAATTAAACTGAATCAGTAATTTAAAAACTCCCAACAAACAAAAGTTCAGGATCAGATAGCTTCACAGGTGAATTCTACCAACATTTAAAGAAGAGTTAACACTCATTCTTCTCAAACTATTTCCAAAAATTGAAAAGGAAGGAGTGCTTCTGAACTCATTCTATGAGGCCATCATCACCCCGACCAAAACCAAAGACACCACAAAAAAATAAAGCTACAGGCCAATATCACTCACGAACATAGATGCAGAAATGCTCAACAGAATACTAGCAAACCATGCTCAAGTGGGATTTATCCCAGGGATGGAAGGATTGTTCAGTATCCACAAATCAATCTAAGAGATATACACCATGTTAGCAAATTGAAGAATAAAAATCAAGATCATGTCAGTAGATGCAGAAAAAGCTTTTGACAAAATTCAGCATCCGTTTATGATAAAAGATCTCCAGAAAGTGGGTAGAGAGGGAACATAACTTGACCATATATGGCCATATGTGATAAGCTCACAGCTATCATCATATTCAATGGTGAAAAGCTGAAAGCATTTCCTCTAAGATCAGGAGCAAGGCCCACTCTCACCACTTTTATTCAACATAGTATTGGAAGCCCTAGCCACAGCAATCAGACAAGAGAAAGAAGTAAAAGGAATCCAAACTGGAAAGGAAGAAGTAAAACTGTCACTGTTTGCAGCTGACATGATACTGTACACAGAGAATCCTAATGACGCGACCAAAAATCTACTAGACCTCATCAGTGAATTCAGTAAAGTGGCAACATTTAAAGTTAAGGGATATAAAATTAATATACGGAAATCGTCTGCAGTTCTATACACTAACAATGAACTATCAGAAAGAGAAATTTTAAAAAAAATTCAGTTTACAGCTGCATCAAAAAGAATAAAATACCCAGGAAGAAATCTAACCAAGGAGGTAAAAGACCTGTACTCAGAAAAGTGTTAAGTCATTGATGACAGAAATTGAAGACAACACAAACAAATGGAAAGATACACCATGCTCATGGATTGGAAGAATTAATGTTAAAATGACCATACTACCCAAGCCAGTCCACAGATTGAATGCAATACCTATCAAAATACCAAAGGCATTTTTCACAGAACTAGAAAAAATAATCCAAAAACTGTATGGAAACACAAAAGACCCCGAATAGCCAAAACAACCTTGAGGAAGAAGAATAGAGCTGGCGGTATCATGCTCCCTGATTTCAAACTGTACTACAAAGCTACAGTAATCAAAGCAGCATGCTACTGGCACACACACACACAAAAAAGACACATGGGTCAATGGAACAGAGCGGAGAGCCCAGAAATAAACCCACACTTATATAATCAACTAATCTATGATGAAGGATGCAAGAAAACACAGAGGGGAAAAGACAGCCTCTTCAATAAATGGTGTTGGGAAAACTGGACAGCTACATACAAAAGAATCAAACTGGACTACTTTCCCATTCAATTTTAAAATGTTTAAAGGCTTAAATGTAAGATCTGAAACCATAAAACTCCTACAAGAAAGCATAGGTAGGTATGCTCTTGGACATCAGTCTTAGCAATGTATTTTAGGATATCTCTCCTCAGGCAAGGGAAACAAACAAACAAAAAACAAATGAGACTTTATCAAATTAAAACGCTATTGCACAGTGAAGGAAACTATCAATAAAACAGAAATGCAGCCTGCTGAATGGGAGAAGATAGTTGCAAACGTTATATCCGATGAGGGGTTAATATCCAAACTATACAGAAAACTCAGACAACTCAACATCAAAAAAACAACCAACCTGATTAAAAACTAGGCAGAGGACTTGAATAGACATTTTTCCAAAGAAGACGTTCAGATGGCCAACAGACACATGAAAAGATGCTCAGTGTCACTAATCATTAGGGAAATGCAAATCAGAACCGCAATGAGGTATCACCTCATACTTGTTAGAATGGCTATCACCAAAAAGACAACAAATAACAAACATTGGAGAGGATGTAGAGAAAAGGGAACCCTTGTGCACTGTTGGTGGGAATGTAAATTGGTGTCACCACTGTGGAAGACAGTAAGCAGGTTCTTCAAAAAGTTAAAAGTTGAACTGCCACACCATCTTGCAGTTCCACTTCTGGGTATTTTTCTGAAGAAAGCAAAAACGCTAGTTAGAAAAGATATATGAACCCCTATACTTATTACAGCGTTATTTACAATAGCCAAGATGTGGAAACAACCTAAGTGTCCATTGTCAATAGATGAATGGGTAAAGAAGATGGGGTATATATGTGTGTATATATGTATACACACAGACACACATATATACACATACATATGTATATACATAATATGCAGTGAAATACTGGCCATAAAGAAGAAGGAAATCTTGCCATTTACAGTAGCACAGATGGACCTAGAGGGTATTATGCTAAATAAGTTGGAGAAAGAGAAATACTGCATGATTTCGCTTATATGTAGAATTAAAAACAAAACAAAACGAATGAACAACCATAACAAAACAGAAACAGACTCATAGCTACAGAGAACAAACTGGTGGTTGCCAGGGGGGTTGAGGGGGTGGGGATGAGGGAAATAAGTGATGGAGATTAAGAGGTACAAACTTCCAGTTATAAAATAAGTAAGTCACGGGGATGTCCTGTACAGCATAGGGTATAAGGTCAATAGTATTGTGTAAACTCTGTATGGTGACAGTCGGTAACTAGAGTTATCACGGTGATCGTTTTGTAATGTATTAAAATATGTAATCAGTATGTTGAACACCTGAAGCTAATACAACATAGTAAGTCAATTATGCTTCAGTAAAAATTAATGAATGAATGGCTCATACAGCATGTGGCCTCTTGTGATTGGCCTTTCACTCAGCCTAATGTCTTCAAGGTACATCAGACTGTAGTATCTACCAGCACTTCCCTCCTTCTCATCGCTTGCATGAGTATGCCACGTTTTGTTTATCTTCTCATCCGCCCGTGGATGTTTGGCCTACTTCCACCTTTTGGCTGTTTGAGTAAGGCTGCTATGAACATTTGTGTGCAAGTATTTGTTTGAACACCTGTTTTCAGGTCTTTTTGGTATACACCTAGGAGTGGAATTGCTGGGTCTGACTTCAGTTTTTACCAGGATGTCCCTGGTGCTGTGTTGAGAAGGGTTTGAAGGGAGGAGGGAGGCGTGGAATCCAGGAGACGGGTGAGAAGCCTCCTGCGCTAATCAGGCTCAAGACGATGGTGACCCCAATGGAGGGTTGGTGATAGGAGGTCAAAACATGCTTAATCTCGAACACAGAGCCAACAGGATTTAATCTTGGACCAGATATAGGGTGTATGAAAGAGAGCTGGGTCCAGAATGACACGAACCCTTTTTTTGCTGGAACAAATGGGAAAGTAGAGATCCTTGGCAGAGGGAGTATCAGAAATTCCATTTTGGACGTGTTAAGTGTGAAATGCCAGTTAGAGCTCCAGTGGCAATGGCAAGGTTGTTTGGTGACTCCACTAATTTAATGCTTGTGTTCTAGAAAGAGTCGTGGTAAACAATAAATTACTATCTAGGTTGATAAGGAAACCAACACAGAAGATCTCTTCCCGGAAGAGGTGGTGAGTCTGCCGAAGGAGAGGCCCAGCCGCAGGGCCCGCGGCTCACCCTTCACGCGGAGCAGCACCGTTGTCCGTTCCCAGACTTTCTCGCCCGGAGCGCGAAGCCAGTACGTTTGCAGAGTAAGTCGGGAGTCCTTTGCCACCTGCCTGGAAGGATTCTTCATCGGTCGCGGGCGGGGCTGGGCAGCAGAGGGTTGGAGCTCCCGGCAGATCCTCACCTGCACGCAGGGTTGAGAACTCTGAGACAGGTGGAGGGGGAGACCCCACCTGCTGTGGTCCGTGGAGACAGGACAGCAGGTTGGAGGTTGGCCGGCCGTGGCCGTGTGACAGTGACGGCACGGACTAGCAGAGACGAGGCGCTGTTGAGGATAAGTGCTCACGACGCGGCAGACTGGGGCGCCGTTTGGCTCGAGCAGAGCTTTGACCCTCCCGCTCCTCTGACGGGGCTCGTTGGAGAAAGCATCTTCCCTTGAAAGGGCTACCACGGAGCCGCTGCATTAGGGCAAAGCCAGAGTTTGATCATATGAGAGAGGCAGACCCTCAGGCCTACGTGGGAGACACTGAGGGGTCTCCAGGCCCACCCTCAGGCTCAGAAATTGGCTAGGACTCACGGAACTCAGAAAAGCCGTCGTATCCACGATGATGGTGCGCCGCAGGGAAGGGGTGCAGACAGACGCGCAGAGGGAAGAGGCGTCGGGCAGCGCTCTGGAGGGACCGGGCAGAGCTTGCAGCCCTTCTCCCGCAGCGGAGTTGTGCGGCAGCTCTCACCTCTCGGAGCAGTGGCAGCGTGCCCGGAGCATAGCCGACCAGGGATGCTCACCCGAGGCTTGGTGCCCAGGGGTTTTGTAGGGGTGGTCACGGGGCACAGCTGGTGGCCGGCGTGGCTGATCTTCCTCTGCAGCCCCTCCAGGGTCAAGCTGGTGGCCCAGGGCCCCCTTCACATTGTCAGCAGAGACTGTGCGGCCGGGCCAAGGTCCCCAGGTAAACAGAGACCCTTAGAACGTTCTAGGGACTTACAGGTCACTGCCCAGGAGCTGAGCAGGGAGCCCACCTTTCTTGGGCAGGGAATCCTTTACTCACAGGAGGGAGCAACAGGGGCTGGGGCCCGGGTGGCCACGTTTGCGAGGCCTGCAGCTCCTCTCCCCACGCAGTGACGTGTCCCGGTCGCGCTGCCCCGGGCAGCCCAGGGTCAGGCGGGGCACTCCTGCCCCATCAGGCTGCAGCCCTGTGGGGCCTGATGCTTCATCACGCGGCTGGAGGTGCCTGATCGAAGGCCATCCTTCCTTATCCTAGACTCTTGCTGAACCCCTGTGGAGCAGGCTCCTGCCTGCTTGCTGAGGAGGATAGGGCGGTGAAGGAGGAAGCCCTTCACCTCCCCAGAGACAGGCCTCCAGCGTCTGCACTGTGCTTTGCGCCCTGCACAAAGGCACACGCACTGACCGGCGATGCTTCTAGAGGCCTCTGTTTTTATATATGTTTGTGATGACTGGGAGGCACGTAAGTGCAGTGCTGCAACATTTCCTGCTATCTGGGGTTCATTGGCATGGAAAGTAAGGCCGTGAAGGCCAGGACTTTGCTTTCACACAGATACATGTTGATCCTGAAATGAAAACCTGCCGCCAAATGAAATACGTAACGTCTCGGCCCCCGTGAAGTCGGCATTATTTATTTTTCTTTTTAAAGACAGGCCTTTTCCCTTGACGGGCAGGGTGGGTGTTAGTGGTGTGGGCTTGTCCTGCCAGGAACGAGGTTCTTATCTGGAACGCCACTCTTCCCAGCTCTCGCCAAAGCTAGAAACACAGCAAATGAGAATGACTGATAAAAAGTGAAAGGCGCTGAGGGGAGTGCGGGGTTTTCATGAGCGTCACACCGTACCGAGTGGCAGTTGGCATTGACAGGACCGAAATTGTGTGGCTCAATTAGCTTGGAAAACCTCAGCTGGTTCGGTTGATGGACCTGAAGCAGGGGTGGGGCTGGGGGTTGGTCTGCTTATTTGGTTTGTCTTTGTTTGGCCTGAAACTCCTGTGTAGGGTTTTCTTGTAAGCGAAACCCAAAGTCTTGGTAAAAGCTCTAAACGTCATAACTGTTTGAGCACCTGCTCGAGAAACAAAATAATCCAGTTCAGAGTACACAGAGAATGAATGTTGAATTCTTGAGGAAATGTTTCTGAACCTCCGTCTTTTTGGTGTAGCTTTATCGTAGTGACAGCGACAGTTCAACGCTGCCCCGGAAGTCCCCCTTTGTCCGAAACACTTTGGAAAGACGAACCCTTCGCTATAAGCAGGTATGTGCCACGGAGACTATTCTGCCGTCTGTATGTACGCTGGGAGTTACTTCTACAAACCTGAAGGGGTAATATTTTAGGTAAGATTAATTGAAAGGTAATATGTGTATTTCCTTGTTTACTTAGATATAATTTTTAGAAGTGTATATAGTGTCAATATGTTACCCATATTTGTTAATTTCCTAAGATAATGTCATAATCTAAGATAATACATGATCTTTACATTTTAAAATATAATAAATTAATAAACAGCCATTCTGTATAAGAGATTCTTCTTTCTTTTTTGACAAGGGAGTATATACAGTTTAGAAAATTTGGGTCTTTCAACGTGGCACATTCTCCTACATAGGACTGTTCTACAGTTTTCCTTTATATACACCGGATTTTTTCTCCACATCACGCCAGTTTACACAGTTTTGCTCCTTTTAATTTGTAAGGTAGTGGTTCCCTGACTTTCCCGGGCAAGAATTCTTTGAAGGAAAAAGAAATTCCCAGATCTCCTTGTGGTGGTTGTATTTAGAGTAGCCGCTGACTGAGAATAAGAAAATACATGACTCAGTAACAAAAATATTTCTCAGCAACCATGCTGTTGGCATTTTGGCCTAGGTCTGTCTTTGTTGGGGGCTGTCCTGTGCACTGTGGGCCGTTGAGCTGCATCCCTGGCCTTGACCCACTAGTTGCCAGTATCACCCCCCCACAGTTGTGACGACCAAAAATGTCCCCGGAGGGCCCAAGTCACCCGTGGTTGGGAACGAGTGAGCTCTGCTATGTATTCAGCAGAGCTTTTAAATGAGTTTGTGTTTATTAAGTCACTTAGGTTTGCATTTAACTTCTGTATATGTGCAAAATAGTGTTATGGGTGTGTAAAACGCATACAGTTATTCAGTCCTCCCAGCAACACTGATAGGCTCGTGGATTTGTGATTTTGTTGCACTAACTGCCTTCCCTAGCGTTGTTAGCCATGGCGTGGGAAGTACTGCTCTCAGCTCCGTGTACAAAAGTCTATTCTCGTCTTAGAGCTTTCTTGAAAACAGGAGACTTGGTTACTTCAGGCGTGTATGGGGAGGAGCGTTTTTTGTTGTTGTTGATGTTTGGCCTCGCTGCGCGGCTTGCAGTTGTAGTTCTCCGACCAGGGATTGAATTTGCACCCCAGCATTGGAAGCGGGGAGTCCTAACCATTGGACTACCAGGGAATTCCCTGGGGAGGAACGTTTTTGACAGCTTGTGTGTGTTTAACCAGAAAGCCCTCAACGTGGTTTATAATGTGCTTTTTTCCCGTTATACAGTAGGGCATTAAGATTTTGCCATGTCGGTGTATCTTTCATCTTTTTACAATAGCTGCGTTTTCTGCGGGCCTTATAATGTATTTGATCACTTTTCTCTTGTCAGGTATTTAGGACTTTTTCTGTCATAAACCTTTTGCACATCATCAGCTGTGCCTTTCAGATCCAAGTCAAATGAAATTTCAGAACCAAAGAAAACACAACATTTTGTGGCTCTTGCTTATATTGTCAAGTAGCACTTGAGAAAGATGACGCCCTCCTGCCCCGTGTGAGAGGGTCTATCTCTCTGCGCTTTAGCCAAAGCCTAGGTCGTCATTACAGCGGACAGCTTGCTGTCACTGGCTCGTTACCGGAGTGGAGGTTTGAACCCGTGTCGCCCACATCCGTGTTGTGTTGGCGTCGGGCCACGCTGCGGGTGTCTCCCTCCAGTGGGGTCGGTCACTCGGGGAAGAAGCTGCAGGCAGGGCGCGGGCGGGGTGGGCGCGCTCACGGCCGCCGTCTCGCAGCCCTGCAGGTCCTCCCTGGCGGCGCTGGCGGCGCGCACGTCCCTGGACCTGGAGCTGGACCTCCAGGCGTCGCGGACGCGGCAGCGGCAGCTGAACGAGGAGCTGTGCGCCCTGCGCGAGCTGCGCCAGCGCCTGGAGGACGCCCAGCTCCGCGGCCACGCCGAGCCCCCGGCCTGGCTGCTGCGCGACGAGCGCTTCCGGAGCCTGCTGCGGGAGGCCGAGAGGCAGGTGAGGCCCCGGCCCGCCAACGGGGGGAGGGGGCAGGCGGGCGGGCCTTTCTCGCCTCCCGGTGCCCGGAGCTGGCAGGGGCTTCCATCGGTCTTCCTTAAAACTGGAAGCAAACCCGTCTGGTTCACCCCGCGTTGCTGTTCCAGACGAGACAGACCAAACTTGACTTCCATCAAGAACAGGCAGCTGAGAAGATGCTGAAGAAGGCCTCCAAAGGGGTGTGCCAGCTGCGCGGGCAGAACCTCAAAGAGCCCATCCAGGTGCAGGCGTTCAGGTGGGGAGAAGCCCAGGCCTCACTCTCCCGCTTGCTTTTTCCTGTCATACCTTTGTCATTATAAAGAGTAAAGTAAGTATTGAGAAGGACCCACAGGAGGTCGAGGACAAAGCAGGAATCTCCCCTGCTGTTAGCATTGTGCGGAGTTTCTTCCGATCTTGTTTTCTAAACACTGTTTTTTCATGCTGCTTGTAATCACAGTGTGGGTTCGAGTTTGCATTTAGCTCTTTTTAAATTAAAATACCCCATGTTGCCACATCATCTGTTGTCTTTTTTGGCTGTAATGTCTCATCTAACAGATATAATTTACCTATTTTATACCCTGCTTCTTTCCAAATGTTTGCTCCTGTAAACAGCACAGTGATCTACATATAGATACATATGTGTATCACCTTTGCCTTTTTAGTTAACTTTTTTTTAAATTTAGTTAACTTTTGATTGAAGCATAATAGACATACAGGAAAGCATGCATATCGTCCTATATATGAAATATTTCAGTGAATTGACATAAACCCTACATGGCAAGAATCAAATGTTATCAGCACCCCCAGATTTCCCACACCAGAGTAACCACCATCTTGAATTTGAATAGTGTAGATTAGCTTTCCCTGTTTTTATTTTTTATATGAGGAAAATCACCCAGTCAATCTATTTTCTTTTGTGTCTGGCTTTTTAAAAAATTGAGGTGAAATTCACGAAGCATAAGATTAACCATTTTAAAGTGAACAATTCCATGGCACTTAGTACAGTCACAATCTGTATTCAGTTCCAGAACATTTCCATCACCCCAAAAGGAAACCCTGTACCCCCGGTAAGCAGTCACTCCCCATGCCAACCTCTCGTCAGCTCTTGGCAGCCACCATTCTCCTTTCCGTCTCTCTGCGTTTGCCTTTTCTGGACCTTTCATATAAGAGGAGTCATACAGTATGTGGTCTTTTGTGTTTGGCGTCTTTCACTTTGGATAGTATTTTTAAGGTTCATCAGTGTTGTAGCATGAATCAGTGCAGTGTTCCTTTTTAGGGCTGAATAATGTGTGCCTGACGTCTAGCCTTAATTTTTTTATACCTTGAATTTTTACCTCCCCATCATGAAAGAGTATAAAACACTATAGCTATCTTCCTTCAACTATGATTTAGAACTCCGTGTATAGTTTTTCATTTATTCATAAAGAAAATATTTGCTGAGCATCTACGTATACCAGGCACTGTTCTAGGCACTGGAGACAAACTCTTGCCCTCATGGGGCTTTGTAACTTCTATTAAAATTTAGAGAGGGGGCCGAGGCAAGAGACTTTAGAGGGTTTGTATACAGATGTGCCCCTGGGGATTGAAATTCAGTGTGTTCTCTGAGTCAGAAAAGCTGTCATTGATGGCAGAGCCTCTTGCCACCTTTCGCTGCATTTCTATCAGCCTCTAACCTGTAATTCTTTCCAATCGCAGGGAGAAGATAGCATTTTTTACAAGACCAAGGATTAACGTACCTCCTCTGCCCGCCGACGATGTTTGATGTAGTGCTTTGTACACATAAAGTATTTATCTGCCTGTTTTATTTTCATGAAGTTCTTAGACTAGCTAAATTTGTCTTTAAAATATTTGTGCAAAGCTATTAATATACACATTTTGTAAAAAATAAATAAAAACAAAACACATATATCTATACATATATATTTTATAATAGTGACGGCAACAGGGCTTGGTTTTTCCTTGTTGTGAAATTGACATCTCTGAAGACAGGTTATTTTATAAGAGATCAATTATCACGTTAAGAGTGTACAGTTTTTACGCTGTTTTATTTGACTTAAAGGCTGGAAGACAGAAACGAAGTGAGTTCAGGCAAATTCACTGTATTGTAATTTATTTATAGTACTTTTTTTTTCCTTGAAGGAAAATACTGACTTTAAGATGTATTTTAAGACTGAAATTTTGTTCTTCAGTATTTGTCATGCGGTAGAATGGAACTTTGGGGCCGGTTTTGTGTCTGACATCGGAAATGCAAACACTATGTGCTGAACTCGTCACTCGTCCCGTTTCTCCTGTGTGCATTTATCATGTATATTGTACACTTTCGCACCCTTTGTGTTCTGTTAAGATGCCACCTTAGGGGCTCAGGTCCTAAGTCAGTGCGGGGCGCGCTTTGCGGAGCTCGGTCTCCCGCGCGGGCTGGGCACCCATAGCCCCTGGTTTCCGTGCACCTTTCCGTGCCCACCCCGGGGTCTGAGGCTGGTCACGGAGCCCCCGGCAGCCACACAGCTCACCCTCACCCGGCCTCGGCAGCCGCGCCTGCCTTTCCAGTCCGCCCCATCTGATCCTGACCGACAAGGAGGGCGGTGGTGGAGCTTCTGCTCTGCTGCTCTGCCCTGCAGGAAAGTGAAAAGAGAAGAAGGAAGGTGCGTTTTCACTGAGTCACTGGATCCGCTGATGGATAGAGCAGTCACGACATGGACACGATAACCTTTGAAGGCGCTTTCTTGAGGAAGCCAGCTTCCGTGGGAACTACAACTACCCGGCGAGTCACTCACAGGAAAGCATGTGCTTTCGATCGGAGGGCCCCCGCCCCATACTGGAGTCGTCCCAATATTTCGTAAGAAATCTTAGAACTAGCTCATGAGGAAGAAATTCTTTACATAATAAAACTACACCATCCTTTAAAAATGCCAGGTGGTATAGTTTGCCTAATACGTATTTATTATATATGAAATGCACTCTCCTTCATGAGGCCTCAGAGAAGTAAACGAGGTGAGTCACACAAAATGTAAGAGAAAACGGAACCCTCCCCCTGGGTCTTTGTGCCCCTCCCTTGAAAGTGCCCCTCCCCCCTTAGCAGCATCTCTCTTCTCCTTGGTCTGTAAGCACTCCCTTGTATAACCCACCTTCCTTTTCACATTTATTAAAAATGAATTTTGTAAAAGCATTTCATTGATATGTGACCTATCACGGACAGTGAAGTTGTCTGTGGTGGTAAGGCTGAAAACTCTGTGCTTTTTCACACTTGTCACTTCTTGCTATGTATTTCTGCCTCTAGTCCCGGTTTTTTTTCTTTTTTCTTTTGCTAATTTCTCTGCATATATACCCACAACAGAGGTAGAGACACAAAACACATGAGTGCTTGCCAGAAGTGTCCCCCCAGGAGACAGCGTTGCTGCTCGGGTCAGGTTGGTGGCAGGCCCTCTCTGTCCCTAGCTGTTGAAACTTCAGATTGATGGGTTGGCTGCCGCTGGACTCGGGGGTGTGTGGAGAGCAAGTCATATGCGTCTGAGGTACATGGCTCCCCAGACGTGGGAGAGCCCCGGCCGCGTTGCCGGGCCTGTGTTTAGGCACTGCCACTTGAAGCTCTAAGTGGGTGGAAGGGTTGAGGTAGCTTTCCTGCTAACCCCTACAAAGTAGCAACGTGGGAAAACCCACTGTGCCGATACAGAAAGCCCGCAAGGGTTTTCAAATGTCACTGCCCACTAGACACAGGTTTCTGTTTGGAATGCTTCCCCACCCCAGAGTTAAAAAAAAAAAAGGAAAGAAATCGCTCCTTTGCCCCACCAGAAACAAATGCAGCCCCAGCTTTGGTGTCAGTTCAAGGAGCGCTGTGTTTTGCGCCTTTCCCCTGTGCTTCTCCGCCTCCCTCCTGCGTCTGTCTGCTTTCGCACCTGAATGGGACCATAGTCAGAAAGGAAGGAAAAGCTAGGCTGATGAAGGACGGGGAGGTGACGGGTCCGTGCTACTCGCAGGCTGTGCTGGAAGTGGCACGTGGACAGCGACAGAGGCCAGGCCAGCAGGCAGGGCACGAGGCACCCTAACTGGCTTCTCTTTCGTGATCGATTGTGCAGCTTCCGACTAGTTAAGACTGCCACCCCCTGGAAAATATCCCACATGTCCGAAAAGTGAAGTCCTGTCGTCTTAAGGGGTATTTTCGTATGTTTAAGTTTGCCCATAATCGTGCCTTGGACAATCCGAAGTCTGCCACCAGGGTCCTTTAGAAACAGTGTGATGAGTAAAAAGGGAATTCGGTCTTCACTTCATCTGGTCACGTAATTGTCACCACCAAAATAAGTAACCTTCTGTTGTGGGAATAAGTTATAATCAGTATTCATCTCTATTTTTGTCACTGTTCTAATTGTGTCATTTGTATTGTTTGAAAGTATTTCTTCTACAAAATTAAACTAACCTGCCTTAAGAACAGAATGGAAATGTGTGATTTTTTTAAAAAATGTAATTAGAGACTTAAATATATTAAAATGTTTATAATTTTTTTCAACATAAAAGTAGAGGTATGGGGGCTTCCCTGGTGGCGCAGTGGTTGAGAGTCCGCCTGCCGATGCAGGGGACGCGGGTTCGTGCCCCGGTCCGGGAGGATCCCACGTGCCGCGGAGCGGCTGGGCCCGTGAGCCATGGCCGCTGAGCCTGCGCGTCCGGAGCCTGTGCTCCACAACGGGAGAGGCCACAGCAGTGAGAAGCCCGCGTACCGAAAAAAAAAAAGAAACCCTGTTCCGGTTAACCGTCACCCCCATTTCTCCACCTCCCCCCCCTCCCCGCCCCCGGTAACTGCTAATCTTTCTCTCTCTGTGGATTTGCCTATTGTGGACGTTTCCTGGAATTAGAATCACATGCTATGTGTGCTGGCTTTGTTCGCTCAGCATCATGTCTTCTGGGCTCGTCCACATTGTAGCCTGTGTCAGGACTTCACTCCTTTCTACTGCTGAGTAATATTCCTTTGTGTAGATTGACCACATTGTGTTTGTTTGTTCGGCAGTTCGTGGCCATTTGGGTTGTTTCCACTTTTTGGCTGATAGGGATAATGTTGCTGTGTACATTTGTGTACAAGTTTTTGTGTGGACATAGGTCTTTGTTTCTCTTGGGTCTATACATAAAAGTAGAATTTCTAGATCATATGGTAATTCTATGTTTAACCATTTGAAGAACTGCTGGACTATTTTCCAAAGCAGCTGCCCATTTTATATTCCTACCAGCAGTGTACGAGGGCTTCAATTTCTCCACTTCCTGGCCAACATTTGTCATTTTGATCATTGTCATCTTCATAGGTGCACAGTGCCATCTCAGCGCAGTTGTGTCGGTTTTTAATTCACAGGATCCATCCCCCCTACCACACACACACCTTTGTAATTTGTGTGTTTTCTGATCTCCCACAGCCTGGACTTGGCTCATTGTATCCCTGGGTGTAGTTTAACATGTTCCTCTGAACTTTATTTCCTAAAAATAAATGCTGAAAAAAAGCTGCTGTTGAACCTAAAAGCTTGATCAGATTCCAGTTCGTTTTTTTCCTTTCTTTTTTGGGGGCTGGGATGGGTGGCAAGACATATCTTCATCCATCAGGTAGCTTATAATGTTTTTATAGGGTTTGCAACTATTGATAATCAATACCTAGATCCATTAATTCACTAAGGGTTGAAAAATGACGATATTCTCTCAATTCTTAAAACATTATTATTTACTTTGAAATGCCTTTATAAAGAGAAACTTACTAGTCTCTTTGGTTATCCAGTGGTACAGTTTGTATGGGAAAAGCAAGATAAATGCTTGATTTTTTTCTTTATTGACCAGTTTTGAAAATAATTGTTTCCCCAGCAGTGTTACAGTGGTGACCAATTTTTTTTTGGTTTTTGGAAATTTTTTTTTTTTTAGTATCGTTATTATTAACACAAATTTAAATATGTTTGGTGTGCTTTAATCCATTGGAGTTGTTATCCTTATTAACGCTCACATTCCGTCCTCTGTAGCTGGGGCAACCTCTACTGGTTGACTGCTGGGTCCTTTTTTATATGTCCCCAGGACTCTGAGATGGCTTCCTTGCTACTGAAACGGAGCGGGACCCTACAGAGCCTTTCCGGGGACAGACACTTGCCCAGGCCCCGTGTCCCCTGCCCACCTCTTGTATGTAGAAAAGCTTTAGCATCCTAGACCTTCCCTGAGTTCCAAAAAAAAAATTTAATAGAAGAAAAAAAAAACCAGAAACCAAAGAAAATATTCAAGTAAGACTAATAACAGTTTAGCCATAAAACAAGGTCAAGGGACTTTAGTTCTTCCTCAGGGGCTATAGATAATACCCTGGGCCGTACCCTTCAGTTGTCTGCAGGCACTAAAACCTCCACCAGGTGGAAGAGGTTAATTGCGTGCTGGTCACATAGACCCCAGACCAGTTGGAACCAGAGGTTGATGATCGAGATTCCTGATTTTTTAAATCACCCTGTTACCTCACCATCAACCAGTGAGAGAATTGTGCACGAGCTAGCTGATCACACACCCTGTCACCCTCTCCCTCACACTGTCTTTAAAAACCCTTCCCTGAAAGCCACTGGGGAGCTCGGATCTTTTGAGCTAAGCCGCCAGTTCTTCCTTGGCCTTGAAACAAACGCTGCGCTTTCCTTCACCACAAGCCGGTGTCAGTACATTGGTTTTGCTGCTCCATGGGCGAGGGGACCAGGTTTGGTTCGGTAACACTACCCTGCTTGACCAGATGTTTGTGACCTGGAAATGGTCATTTCTCCAGGGAGACTTGGTTTCTTGGTGGTAGGAGTACTCGTTACTGCTGGGTTAGTCATTGTTTTTAGATTTATTGTCTGTCTCTGTTAAGTAGACTGACAATATTTTCTTGTCACGCATCTCAATTTTTGCTTTGAAACAAGTGATCAGACACTGCCACCTCATTTTGGAGCAAGATTTGCAGGCCCTTGGTTACATCCAAAGGCAGAGGCTGCACGTCCTTTGGTTTGGAAACATCGTGTCTGGGACCTGTGGCGAGAGGCACGCAGCCTTTTGGAATCTGTGGTTTTCCGTCCTTCCCACCAACAGACACTCTGGCCAGATTGCTTTTCCTACTCTGCAGTTACAGGCAGAATCCCCTGGGTAATAAACACAAATTGTTTTATTGCAATGGAATTAGTTTAAAAGAAACGCTTCACAGCACTGCCCAATAGAACTATGTGCAATGATGGAATTATTTTATATCTGCACTAAAATATAGTAGCCACTAGCCACATGTGGCGATCAGGCACTTGACATGTGGCTAGTGTGACTAAGGAACTGAAATTTATTTTAAAAATATTTTTTAATTTAAAAAAATATTTATTTATTTATTTAGGCTGTGCCAGGTCTTAGTTGTGGCGTGCATGTGGGACCCAGCTCCTCGACCAGGGATTTAACCTGGGCTCCCCGCATTGGGAGTGCAGAGTCTTACCCCCTGGACCATCAGGGAAGTCCCTGAATTTTAAATTTTATTAATTTAAATTAATTTAAACTTGAATAGCAGCTTGTGGCTAGTGGCTACCTTATTGAAGCAGTGCAATTTTACCCTGTATTACTGTGTAAGGGGAATAATTATGTCCAACTGGCCAGGGGTTACATGCCCTGCTTGTCCCCGTGGGTGGGTTTATGTGAGTTGACAATGGTGTGCAAATGAACTGGGCCACATGGGGCTTTATATATAGGTGTGTGTGTGTTAGATTGTGAGTCTTTATAACTTTTTCCACTTGGCTCAAAATATGCTAGGTATTTTGATAAGTATATATAGGGGTACACATTTTTCCTTGCGTCTCAGGCTCCAGTAAGGCTCTGCAAAGCACTGCTTACTCTTTCCAGAGCCCTCACTTAAGCCTCAAAACGCCCCCAGGTGGTGGATCCTTTTACTACCTCTACTGCTCCCCACTTTCTAGAAGGGAAAATCGAGGCTTGCAGAAGCTTGACAAATAGCACAGACAATAATACTGTAATGTGGTTGTTATGTAATACTTCAAGATGGTGTCTGAGAACATCTGAAGACATTGTTGGTTCTGGTGTAACACTGTATCCCAGAGACAGTTTTTTTTTTTATTTTGTTTTGTTTTTTACCATGTAGTGTGCTTCCATGTCTATGAAAACTTCCCTTCCCTCTCTGTGTCCCAGTCACTGGGTTCCGCTCCCCAGAGATAACCACCCTTTGCAGCTTCCTGTGCATCAATTCTGAAATAGTCTATGAAGATACAGGCAATCGTACTTCCCACGTGCCAGCAGTACCACATTTAAGGGATTATAATGAAGCAGAGCTTCCAGCATGTTATACAATGGTGAACTCTTTAAAATGACTGGGAAGGGCCTGCCCTGGAGGTCCAGTGGTTAAGACTCCGCGCTTCCACTGCAGGGGGCCTGGGTTTGATCCCTGGTCGGCCGGGGGATTAAGATCCCTCATGCTGTGGGACTCGGCCAAAAAAAAAGGAAAAAAAAAGCCTGAGAAATGGAAGATTTGGGTGAATCAAATTATACTTTATAAGCAGGGTTTCTCTGCTTCGGCACTAGTGATATTCTGGGCTGGAACCTTCTCTGTTGCAAGGCTGTCCTGGGCACTGTAGGTTGGTGAGTAGCATCCCGGGCCTCCACCCACCAGATGCCAGGGGCCCCCCGCCCCCCGCCCCGAGGTGTGGCAGCCAAAACTGTCCCCAGACAGTGTCCAATGTACCAGCAGCAGATAAGAGGAAAAAAATGTAAAAGATTCAAAGGGATTAACAAGTAGAAATCTGTGAAGAAAACAGAAGGTGCCAGTATGGAGAAATTAAAGCTCAACGGTTATTACATAAGTGTTTGAAGAATCTTTTCAGGAAGGATGTTAACGGCTATCTTTCAATCTTCGCACATAGCAGAATAAGAAGTGAATTTAAATGGAAGAGAAATTAAGGCTGGACCTACAGACGATGAAACGGTAACATCAGTTCTGAGCTGCCGTCTTCCTTCCTGAAGATTTTTATGAGCAGAATAACCTAGGATGGTTAGGAATTGTTCTCTCCGGGCTTTGCGGTTAAGATTTGAGAATCTTCAAGGAATGAAATCTGCGTTAAAAAGTAGCAAAATGTACATAATCCATGATCATGTCTCCTACAGTGCTTTAAAAAAAAAAAAAGCAATAGCTGTTTCTTGTTACAAAAGCAATGCATGTTAATCGTAGAAAAATTAGAAAATGCAGCTAAGCTAAAAAGAAGAAAATGAGAAATACCCTTAATCTCACTAATGAGTGAAATACTAAGGTTGATACTTTAGTGAATTTGCTTCCCAGTTGTTTTCTCTGTTCAAAGGTATTTGCTTGCGAAGACATAAATATATTAAACTGTAGGGGGGGAAACTCTTCCCTTCTTCCCCTCTAGGTTTTTTGACTGGTCTAATAATTAAATTGACATAAAATGGACGAACAGGAGA